TGTCAGTAATGATAAAATGTTTTGTACCTTAAATACTATTCATATATACACAGGTAGTATTATACAGACTAAGTATGTTATGTTCATGTACTTAGATAGATAGATAGATAGATAGATAGATAGATAGATAGATAGATTGACAGACAGATAGGTGATTGATAGATATATACATAGATGATAGATAGATAGATAAATAGATGATAGATAGATAGATAGATAGATAGATAGATAATAGATAGATAGACAGATATTAACAATTAAAGAAAAAGGACATAAATTTTAAAAGAGCAAGAGGGTACAAGAGAACAGCTGGAGGAAGGAAAGGGAGATGGAAATGATATAATTACAATATAATTTCAAAAAATAAAAATACTATAAATAAATACTATAAGTAAAATAAAAATAATAAAAACTACAGTTTCCTTGGTTTGCTTTCTTCTCTTCTGTTTCATCTCTGTCTCTTACATATAGGGCATTTCCTGGCCTCAAAGATAATCCACAGTGAACTGTAGACTCTAACACCATCTACTGTCAATTAGAGATCCTGAAGTGGCCTGTCCAGAAAGTTTCCACTTTGATCCAACTGTCTCTATTATAATCGAAGCTTGCACACCACCCTCTGAGCACTCAGGCTGCTCCATCATCACGTTTCATTGCCCCGTTGTTAACCTGTCTTGGAAACCGAGCGTTCATCCAGCCGCGGTGGCAGATAGATCCACCACACCAAGTGCTGCGAGGGCTTCAGACGTAAGCACAGAGGCCCTGGATTCAGGCTGGATTCAGATTGTGTTCGTATTATAGTTCCTCCTGTACTGGCTACAAGACTTTGAGTAAATCACTTAACACCGCTGACCTTCCGTTCTGTCCTAGATATGGTTCGCATTCAGAAATGGAAAAGTGTAATATAAACCTTTTAGGGTAGCATCTGTCACATTGTTTTAAGGATACAAAAATTGACAGTTATCCTGCTTACGGAAAGATAGTCAAATGAGGAAAGCATCCGTTCAAACAATTCGTTCTTCGTGGCGTAAGGATTCCAAGTACAAGCACAAAGATGTTCGAATTAGACTGGCACCGGATGTAGGCTTTTTACAGGAGTTAGTATCTGACCCAGGCACTCACGGGGAGGGGTGAAGAGGGAGACACAAAAACAGGTAAAGACTGCGCGGGAAAGCACTGCAGCCAGGACCGCATGCGCAAAGACAGCCAGAGGCTGCTCCTGGGGAAAGGCTGAGATCAAGGCGGGTTGGGGTGGGGAGAGCATCTGGAGGAGCTGAGGTGAGAGGGGCCATGGGCAGATGATGACAGAATCCCCGCCTTAGAAATATGAACTCAGCAATAAAGTCACAGGGGCTGTGATGAAATCAAAGTTTTAAAAGCTCCTCATAGCCTCCAGGTAAAAAGTAAAGATGTGTCAGGAACCTCAGAGGTTCAACACCAAACGCTGAGACGGATGGAAAACCACTGTCAAATGTCTGCACTACGCCCTCCTGTAACCCACCTCAACCCTCAATGAACTTGACTCAAAACAATAACTCCAAAATTAGACTCCGTATTCCATTATATACGCCACATTCAAAGGGAACTTTGATCCTTCCATATTCGAAGAGCCCCCTAAAAAATTAATAATGGGACAGCCTCCATTCTTCTACGAAATCCCTATTCATTCACGAGATGAATCTGCCCAAAGATACAGATGAGGATCGTAACTCTATTTTTAACTTCCTATTCTTCCCAAGCGAAAACAGGTTAATTATATTTCAGAAGTAACCTTTTCTTACCTTTCCATCAGTAATGGTGTCAAATAATTTCATAATGGATAATAAAACTCCCATTAGTGTTATGAATTATATTAGTATGAATCTTCCCCAAAGTCTTAAAATGTTTTAGCTGATATTTTAACTGTCTTAAAATTATGCTATAATGTACTTTTTTGAAGATTCTTTCTCAGCTTATTCTCAGCTCACCCCCAGATCAACCATCTTGACCACTCAGGTGTGTCAGTCCATTGGTTCAAACCCTTCTCTTCCACAAAATGCACTTAGTGATTTCTTACCTGGATAACAGCCATGCCACATCTGTTCACATTTCTTCTGAAACAGGTCTTTCTATTGTCCAAACAAGACACCATTGTTCAAAAAGTTTATTTGTGCCTCCCCTCCTCCTTATAGGTGATGGGTAGGAAGTAGGAAAAAGAAAAAATATTGTTTTCAGACCAAGGAGCAATAATTACTTTTTATTACTCTGCGTGTGAGAGAGTGTATGTGTGTATTAGTCAGGGTTCTCTAGAGTCACAGAACTTACGGATTGTCTCTTTATATTGAGGGAATTTATTGTGATGACTTACACTCTGGTGTCTAACCACCCCAACAATGATCAGCTGTGAATGGAAGTCCAAGAATCTAGCAATTGCTCAGTCCCATGAGGCTAGTTGTTTAAGCCATTCTTCTGTGGAAGTAGGTTCCAACAGATCTGCTGGCAAGAAAATGCAAGCAGGCAAAGAAGAGAGAGTCTTCTTCTTCCAATACCCTTATGTAGGTCTCCAGCAGAAGGTGTGGCCCAGATTAGAGGTGTGTACGAGCATGCCTGGATCTGGGACTTGCTTTGTCCCAGGCTGACCTTTAACTCAGAGATCTCCTTGCTCTGGTCTCCTGGGATTAAAATTGTGTACTACCTTGCCTGGGCCTAAGCTACTCATGGCCACTATGCCTCAAGATCTCCATGCCAAGATCCAGGTCAGAAGCTTGTGTCTTCCAGCCTCAAAATCTTGATCACAGGTGAGTCCTCCAATTCTGGATTGTAGTTCATTCCAGATATAGTCAAGGTGACAACCAGGAATAGCCATTACAGTGTGTGTGTGTGTGTGTGTGTGTGTGTGTGTGTGTGTGTTATAGCACATTGGTGGAGATCAAAGGTCAAGTTTCAAAAGTCAGTTCTCTTTTTACTGTGTGATTTCTGGGAATCAGGTCACCAGGCTTGGTGACAATTGTCTTTACCAATTCAACCATCTCACCAGCCTGTGGGACAGTATTTAAACTCCCTTTCTCTGTAGTGTTTCTGATATCCAGTTCCCTATTGCTATCCATTACTGAACGAGGTCCTCTCTCAGAAGGATGCTGCCCATCTCAAGCCTTTTTGCTAACCGGTTCCAGGTCCCCTGTGCCCATCACACACTCCGCTTGTAAATAATTACTTTAATTACTCTGAAACGCCTCTTTGATATTCAAATGAGTAGCCTTGGATTCGGGTTACATGAATGTAAATATTTATTTGAGAAGTGAAATATTTAGTTGGGCTCTTGGGACATCTCATCTTCCCAAGTCAAGGGACAGATGCATCAGAGTGTCACAGCATTATTGTGCTGTGGGTTGACAAAGAACCATCGCTTGATCAAACCTTAGCCAGATTCCTGAACCTTCCCTTAGGCTCATCCATGTAGCTCTTATAAATCCCAGTCTTAACCAGGATACTGCTGAGTAGCAAAGACCTGCCCACACCATTTATATCTAGCCAGGTTCCTCCCGAAAATATCCTGTTGGATTGCTTCACCCGCTCAGTAAATTCACCTCTAGTTACCTCTTAGTAAATTTCCATCTGTCAGCCCCTACCCTGTCCCCGGCCATGAGTTCCCACTTGTACACAATGTTTACAAAACCCAGTCCCGTTTCCCCAGCCAATTACCAAGCTCCATTGCTGTGGTTCCTGTGTTTATGGTGCCAACTCTGAACAGTGTCTTCCTTATCAAGCTTTACCTTTATAATTAACCACTGAACAATTTTTCCTTTATTTATTTGTGTATGTGCACTGTGGGGGGGGGAATGTTACACTTGCAGGGGCATGGGGTGCATGTGTACATGTGTGTGGAGGCCAGAGGTCAACCTTGGTTTTTTGAAACAGTATCTTTCATTGGGACCTCAGATTGAAACAGTAACTTTCATTAGGACCTCGGATTGAAACAGTATCTTTCATTAGGACCTCAGAATCAGAGATTAGGCTAGGCTGACTGGCCAGTCTGGTCAATGGAGTGAGTTCCTGACCAGCCTAATTGGGGAGGGGGGTGGAGTGGAGTAGGGGACAATAGCTCTGTCACAGAACAGCAGATAATCAAAGTAGTGATACTTCATGAGAAGAAAATCATAGATTCTACACACACTTAAGAGGGACAGACCGTAAGAGAGACGTGCTGCAGGGCTCACCCCAGCGTGGAGTCTGTCCAGCACTCAGGGGCTTCATTACTGTCCAGTATTGATAGACTGTATCCTGCCTTCTCATTGGACAGGACAGAATGGAGCTCAAGGAATCTCACTGTAACGTTTATGCACCGTTTTGAGACTTAATTTGGGCAAAGTTATACTAATGCAGCACCTGAGATAAATTTTTTGTGTGTGTGGTTTTTCAAGACAGGGTTTCTCTGTGTAGCCCTGGCTGTCCTGGAACTCACTCTGTAGACCAGGCTGATCTCAAACTCAGAAATCCGCCTGCCTCTGTCTCCCAAGTGCTGGGATTAAAGGTGTGTGCCACCACTGCCCGGCTTGATAAAATCATTTTCAAAGAAAAGGGATCCTCCCAATTAGTATGCTCCGTTCTGTGTTGTGAGACACACAGCTGAGGCTTTACAAACGAAAAAAAGAGTGATCTCATCATTCTGGAATTCAGAAGAGCCAACTGTATTTCCAGGGTAAAAGAGCAGCTACTGTGCCACCCACTTATCTTATTTAAGTCAGGCTGGTAGCAATTAGCTCTGTAACTGGCTGGTAACACTGAGTGCATTTCTGCCTGTCTCCCTTGTTAGCATACCTCTTTTCTGCATAAATATACCCCAGAGCATTGTCAAAGGTCCTGAGGCTGGATATGTGGTATGACGGAGTAAGGTTCTTTATCAGGAAATCCATGACAAGATTCTCTTTGTAAAATTCAACTACAGTCTTCAGCAAGGGGTGAGGGACTGATTTGTTCTTCACATAATTTCCCAGCATAAGAAATGTGTTTATTTTCAGGAACATTTGGCACATTAGCAGCTGTGCGCTGGACAGTTGCTACCCTGGGATGTACCATGATTGGAGTTTTGAAGAATGTTTCAGATTGGAACTGAAGTAAGTAAAGTTTGGTGTTGGTCCTGACACCACGGTTTGGGGCTTTGCTGAGCGTGATTGGGAGCAGATAGAACAAGAGTCATATACTATAGTTTCTAGAACAGCCAAACAATTGATGCTTTAGAGTATGTTCACCAGTCACACACAGCAACCTCGGTGCTCTGTCCCATCGGTCACCTCTCCTGACCAGGCCCAGCATTCTGACAGTCTTCGTGACCTACACCAGCAGTTCTCAACCTTCCTAACACCACCACCCTTGAATATGGTTCCTCGGATTGTGACTGTGTTAGGCAACTTCTGTGAAAAGGTCGTTTGACTCTCAAAGGGATTGCAACCCACAAATTGAGAAACTCTGACCTATAAATCAATCCCCAGAATCATATGAGATGCCTCCACAAGGAAAGACTTGAGGGAGTTGTCACACTAAGGAAAGCCAAGGCACCATCCTCTAAGTAATGTTCTCCTTTTTCAAAACTAGAGAGCTGAAGCAAGTTTTGCTTACATACTATAGATTCTATGAGGAACAGGAAGAAAGACAGACATTTAGTATATGATTCCAGAGAATTATCTCAAACATCTTCACTACTGTACATATTCAATGAGAAAAGTGAGCCAGTATTTTGAAACATTCAGCCTCATTCTCTTCCTCCACTCACTGGATACGCAATGAGTCTGCAGGGTTCCCTGCTTTGATAACTACACTGGTGTGTTATATGGGGGTCCTAGTTTCGTGTGTGTGTGTGTGTGTGTGTGTGTGTAAGAGAGAGAGAGAGAGAGAGAGAGTTTTGAAATAAGCACTTAATTTATATATATGTACATGTATGAATATATAATATATAATATAAATGTATATAATATACATGTAATTGAGTGGAAAGTGAACAAGGTCTGAAGATGTGGATATTATAATATGCACAATACATATACTATAATATGGTATATAATATAATATGTAATTAATGTATAATATATAATATATAACATAAAATATATAATACATGATAAATATATGTGTATGTGTATATGTATGTATATGTGCATATACATATAATTAAGTGGAAAGTGAACAAGGTCTGAAGATGTAGATATTATAATATGTACAATACATATAATATGTTATGTAATATATAATATTAATTAATATGTAGTGAATAATATATAATGTATAATATATAACACATGATAAATGTACATGTGTATACACATATAATTAAATGGAAGATGAACAATGTCTGAAGATGTGGCTCAGTGACAGAATGTCTAAGATGTATGACACTCTGGGTTCAGGAAAGACAGAAAGGCAGGGCAGGGAAGGAAGAGCTACTCAGGACATGATTCAGTAAGTAAAGAGCTTGCCTCTCAAGCATAAGGACCAGAGTTCACATCCCCAGAACCCACATAAGAGCCAGGCAGGCGTGGTGGCCACCTATTACTCTAACACTTAGGAGGCGTGGTCTGGGGACCCAAGGTAAGCTGGCTGGCTTGGCTAGTCAGACTCTGCAAGCACCAAGATCAGCTACTGGTCGGCCCAGACAAAGTGGACACCAGTGGAGGAAGGCACCTGACATTCATCAACCTTGGGCCTCCACACATGGACACACACATGTTCATGCACACACACACATATGTACATATACATACACATACATATATATACATACATACACAGGTATGCAACAAAAATCAGTAAGATAACCCTATTCAAATATGTACGTATTTACACATGCATTGTGGATAGGTAAGGCTAAATGTGCCTTTTATTCTTTTAAGTCATTATTTAGTTTATCTTGGTTTGGGTGGTTTCGTAAAGACTTACTTTATATGCCTATTTGCAGAAGTCTCAAGCATTATTTTACAGTTACACTCACGGGAGCAATGGCTTTAAACGCTATACTTAACGACAATCTTTCCTATCACAATGATTGACTATTAGGATGTCGTTCTTACTCTTAGTTTTACAAACCTAGGCGAAGATGAATTACACCCCTTTTATATCAATGATATCTTTCCTACTATATATTTTCTTCAAAGCACAAGCAAAACTTGTTCAAAGTAGACCTCTCTCTACAGCTTAAAGAGCGATCACCCTTAAAGAAGGTTATAATATTTCAGCATTTGCTTGTGGATATTAGGTTTTGGCTACTGGAATATATTCTAAAGCTATTAATATTTTCTTTAATTGAAAATACATGTTTTCATATGATATATTCTGACTACAGTTCCCCTCCCCAGACTCTTCCCCATTCCTCCCCATTTCCCATTCCATCTGCATCCCTTTCTACCTCTTCCTAGAAAACAAACAGATATCTAAGGAGAAACAAAAAAAAAGGTAAGATAAACAGAGAAAAAGCAGAGGAAAATACATAGGCACAGAGACACACTTGCTCGCACACACAGAGATTCCATGAAAACATAAAGCCGGAAGCCATAATATATACGCAAAGAACCTGTAAGGTTAAAGAAAAAGTCCTGACACAACTTCATGAGACAAAATAACCCTCCAAAGATGCCATTGAGTTTGTGTTGTGTTGGCCATCTACTGCTAGGAAGGAACCCTACACTGAAGAGTAGTGTGTTGGCTGGTGAAATTCCCTTGGAGAAAACTATTTTTTGCAAGTAGTGATCAACTGGAGCTGGCTTCTGGGTTAGGGATAGGTGTATGTGTCTACTTCTCCTCTCAGCAGTAAGACCTCATCTGGTACACACCTGCGTAAGCCCTGTACATGCTGATATTTCAAATGTAAATAGGTCACACTGTTTAGAATGCCTTGTTCTTCTGGTGTCCTCCATCCCCTCTGGCTCTTACACTCTTTCTGCCTCCTCTTCTGCAGAGTTCTCTGAGCCCTGAGGGAAGGGATTTGACAGGGACATCCCATTTAGGTCTGAGAGTTCCAAGTTTTCTCACTCTCTGCACGTTGTCTGTGGGTCTCTCTGTATTTGTTCCCATTGGCTGCAGGAGGAAGTTTCTCTAGTGATGTCTGAGAAAGGCACTGATCTATGCTTATAGCAGAATGTCATTAAGACTCATTTTAATTCTTTCCTTTTGCAGCCATCGGTGGATCGCAGCTGCCAAAATGAAATTCAATCCCTTCATGACTTCTGACCGAAGCAAGAACCGCAAATGGCATTTCAATGCACCTTCTCACATTCGGAGGAAGATCATGTCTTCCCCTCTTTCCAAAGAACTGAGACAGAAGTATAATGTTCGGTCTATGGCCATTCGAAAGGAAGATGAAGTTCAGGTTGTTCGGGGATACTACAAAGGCCAGCAGATTGGCAAAGTGGTCCAAGTGTACAGGAAGAAATATGTCATCTACATTGAGGGAGTCCAGCGAGAGAAGGCTAATGGCACAACTGTCCACGTGGGCATCCACCCCAGCAAGGTAGTTATCACCAGGCTAAAGCTGGACAAGGACCGCAAGAAGATCCTGGAGAGGAAAGCCAAGTCCAGGCAAGTAGGAAAGGAGAAGGACAAATACAAAGAAGAAACAATAGAGAAGATGCAGGAGTAGAGACATCTCATGCACGGCTTTCATTAAAGGCTGCTTAAGTAAAAAAAAAAAAAAAAAAAAGACTCATTTTATTGCTACATATCTTTAGCAGAACCGTATTTGAGTTTTCCTCTAGGTGTCTGATCTATCTAGTCTGAGGTTCTTGGCCAATCCCGCAGTGTCAGTGATGGGCTTCATTCTGGGCCTTAGATCGAATCAGATGTTGGTTGGATGCTCTCACGGCTGTATCTTGTGGGCAGGTCACCATTGTGGATCAAAGCATTTGGAGCTGGGTTGGTATTTACCTTTGGTAGTGTGCCCCAGTAGCAGGAACACAACTTTGTAGGAGTGGAGGCTCTAAGGAGACTACAGTCAGCTCAGTTTCTTTGTGTTCAGTGAGTTGTGTAGATGCTGTCTTCAGCAAGCTTCTCCATCAGTTTGTGGAGAACAACTTGGCAATAGCCTAAGTTATTCGGGGTTTCCCAAAGGCCCCTTTGGGCAGCACCTTGATTAGATGTCACCCATGCCTTGTAATAGAACCTTCATCTGGAAACAAAGTTTGTCCCCCCGGAGTTCTGTTTCCCCCGTTATTCAGTGAGTTCACTTAGATCAACTTTATACATGCATATACTTTAATTATCTTCTACTGTATTGGGTTTCCGTGCAGTCCCTCAAATGACCCGTGATTTTACCTGCCCCTCCTTCATCCCCACCTCATTTGATCCTCCCATTCTGCCCCCACACACGTCATCCATCCATAACTCTCTTTTCCAGCTCTCCTCCCAAGTGAGATCCATCCCTCCCTCCCATTCCCTTACTCTATCCCTAATCTCTGAGGTTCTGTGGATTATAGATTGCTTATCAGATAACACCCACAAATACGAGACTATGCACCATATCTCCTTCTGGGTCTGGGTTACCTCACTCAGAATGATTTTTTTTTCTAACTTCATCCATTTACCTACGGATTTCTTGATTTCGGGTTTTTAATGCTGAGTAATATCCCATTGTATACACGAACTACGTTTTCTTTATCCAGTCATCCATCGGTAGACATGTAAGTTGTTTCCAATTCCTGGCTATTTTGAATAAAGCATCAGTGAACATTGATTGACTAAGTGTCTTTGTGAGAGGGAGCATTCTTAGAGCATATGTGAAGGCGTGGTACATGTAGATTCTGAAGCAGATATGTGCCCATCTTTCTGAGGAACTATCACACTGATTTCCATAGCGGCTGTACCACTGAGCCCTCCCCTCAGGAGTACATGTCAGTTCTCCTTAACGAGTTCTCTCCAGCGTGAGCTGTCATTTGTTTTATTGATCTTGGCCATTCTGACAAGAGTAGGATGAGATCTCAAAAGTGGTTTTGATTTACATTTTTCTGATGACTAAGAATGTTCTAAAAAAAAAAAAAAAGAGAGAAAGAAAGAAAGGAAGGAAGGAAGGAAGGAAGGAAGGAAGGAAAGAAGGAAGGAAGGAAGAAGAAAAAAGAACTAGAGAGATGGTTCAGCGGTTAAGAGTACTGACTGCTCTTCCAGGGGTCCTGAGTTCAATTCCCAGCAACCACATGGTGGCTCACAACCATCTGTAATGGGATCCGATGCCCTCTTCTGGTGTGTCTGAAGATAGCAACAGTATACCCACATACATGCAATAAATAAATAAATCTTTAAAAAACAAAAGAATGTCTTATAATTGTTTCTCAGATGTTTGTGTTTCCTCTTTTGAGAATTATGGTTAGATCTGTACCTTATTACATAATTAGTTATTTTTTCTCAATGTTCATATTTATATATGTGCACATATATATATGGACATTTGATAGATGATAGATAGATAGATAGATAGATAGATAGATAGATAGGTTTTAGTTATTTATATATTTTAGATATTAGCCCTCTACCAAATGTGTCTTGGGTAAAATCTTTCCCTGTTCTGTCCTGTTCTGTAGGATGCTTTTCTTGTCCCGTTGACAGTGTCCTTTGAAATGCAGGTTTTCAGTTTCACGAGGTCTCATTTATTAATTGTTAATCTTAGAGCCTGTGCTAACATGTCTCCTGAGCCGATGAGTTCAAGGTTACTCCCTACTGTCTCTTCTGTCAGTGTATCTGGCCTTGTGTTGAGGTCTTTGCTCTGTTTTGAATTGAGTTTCAAGCAGGTTGAAAAGTATGGACCTATTTACACTCTTCCACATACAGCCATCCCATATGACTAGCACAATTTGTTAAGGATGATGTCTTTTTTCCCAGGGTGTATTTCTGGTTTCAAATGTCATGTGTCTATAGTTGTGTGGACTTGTTTTTGGGTCTTCAATTCCGTTGATCAATGTGTCTGCTTCGTGCTGATACTATGCTGTTTTTATTACTGTAGCTCTGTAGTACAGAGCTTGAAATTGGAGGTGGTGACTCCTCCAGATGTTCTATTATTATTTGGGAATGTTTCACCTATCCTGGTGGTGTATATATGTATATGTGTGTGTACATGTGTGTACATGTGTGTACATGTGTGTACATATGTTTGTGTCTGTATGCATTTGCATGTGAAGCTGAAGTTGTGTTTTCAAATTTATAAAGCATTGTGTTGGATGATGGAAATCGCATTGAATCTGTAGATTGGCTTTGGTAAGGACGTTTTTATTATATTAATCCAACAGATCCATAGCATGGGAGATTCTATCTTCTAATGTCTTCTTCAATTTCTTTCTTCAATGTCTTGAAGTTTTTATCATACAAGTCTTTAATGTGCTTGGTAAGACTTATACTGAGATATTTTGTATTTGCTGAGGCTTCTATGAAAGATGCTGTCTCCCTGGATTCTTCCTCAGTTTGTTTGTTGTTTGTATTGAAAGACTACTGATGATAGTGTATTAACTCTGTATTTGCTGAAGTGTTTATCAGCTGTAGGACTTTCCCAGTGAAATTTTTAGGATCACTTACATATAAAATCATATCATAGGCAAAAAAGATACTTCGACTTCTTGTATTCTTATCTGTATTCTCTTAATCTCCTACAACTGTCTTATTGCTCTAGTTAAGACCTCAAGTACTATAGTTACATATATGGAAAGAGTGGACAGCCTGGTCTTGTTTCTGATTTTACTGGAAATGTTTTGAGCTTGACTCCATTTAAGTTGATGTTGGCTGTGGCTTTTCTGTAAATCACCTGTGCACACATGAGATCTGCACATGCACACACTACAAACACATACACACGCACACACATACACACATGCGCACATACACACATGTGCACATATACATACACATGCGAATACACTTGCACACACACACATGTACACACACAAAATATATTTTTCACATGCAATATATATATATAGTATGTATACTGAGGTAAATAAGGTTCAACAGGTTATCTGAACTTGATCCCTGGAACCCACATTGTAAAATGTGAGAACTGATTCTTACAAATTGTCCTCTAACTCCATAAACACGCTGTAGTGTCCACTGTGCACACACAATTAACTAACTAATTAATTAATAGAAAGGTCATATCTCTGATTATTGTGGGCATTTTGGTGTGTAAGGAAATGCACAAGCCCAGTCGTTGGTGTTCGGTAAATATCAAGTGCCGTGTGTGTTTGTACACACAAACATGTGTGCCTATTTTATTCCCTGAATCATACAGACCATGGGAAAGGCACAAAATAAGAAGGCCTGGTTTGCCGCATGTCTGATGTTTACCAAAATCGCTATTTGGTTTTGCCTTCTGCTGTGACAAAAATATCCAGAAACAACTTACGGAAGGAGAGTCCACATGGGCCCACAGCTCAGAAGTGGAGTGTGACATAGTAGGAAGAACATAGTAACATAGTGGAAGGCATGCCCCTGAATCTGCTTCTCTGCAGCTCTATGGGAATATGACTCAGGCCTCCTCACGTAGCTCCCTTCCCCTGAACCTTTCAGAAACACCCAGATTCTGATACAGGAACATGTGTTTAAATCATAAGGCACAAGATCCACTTCCTGTTGAAGCTGACCTAAAATCTCCTCACATTATTCATGGGGTGTGTGCTCACTTTAAAAGCCTCCTCCGGAGAAGGGAGCAATACACACACACACACACACACACACACACACACTCAGCAATCATTCTCTCAAAGGCAAGATGAATTAGATAGCTGATTGTTGTTGTCTGGATTCGACAGTCTTGCAGTCACGCCTGTTGCCTAAAGTAAAGACCTAATCTGAATTAAATGACTATAAAAAACTTGAAGGCCTCGTGGTCTTCCATGCTGGCATGTATGTAGTAACACAAACTCGGATTCCCAGAGTGCTGCATTTCCTCCTTGCTTCCAGCAGTTAACACTCAAACCATTATTGACTATGTCGTACATGCAGAACAGAATCTTCTAGTTCTGTTTTGTTTTACATACCATCCAAACTTAAAAAAAAAAAAGTCTTGCATTCTCAGCACATGTATTAAGGAACGGATAGATTGAACTATTTGCTTCGTAGGCCAAAACTGACAGTACCTGAAACAGCACAGAGGGACGCTCTCCAGTCACAGCCGTGAAAGCAACAGGGCAACACACTTGGCTAAGTCATCCTAAGATGGGGCTTCTACTGCCTCATTGTTCCACCAGACCTAGAATTCCAGCCTCAGCCACAGAGTTCCTAACGGTGCCTTTCAATCTACATTTGATTTTTTTATTGGTTATTTTATTTATTTACATTTCAAATTTTATCCCCCTTCCAAGTTTCCCCTCCACAAACCCCTTATCCTATCCCCTTTACCGCCACTGCCTCTATGAGGGTGCTCCCCCCACCCCCACCCACTCCTGCCTCATCACCCTAGCACCCCCCTATCCTGAGGCATTGAGCCCTCACAGGACCAAGGACCTCCCCCCCACCCCACCCCACCCCCACCAATGATGTCATCCTCTGCTACATATGCAGCTGGAGCCATGGATCCCTCCGTGTGTACTCTTTGGTTGGTGGTTTAGTCCCTGGAAGCTCTTAGGGGGGTCTGGTTAGTTGATATTGTTGTTCTTCCTATGGAGT